ACCTATCGAGCACTCTGGCGTCATTCGTGTTGACATTTCGAGCAAATGTCGAGTGATGACATTTGCATTATTTCGGACCGGCTACAATCTGCTGATGTTTGTTTGGTTGCCTTAGTTACGCAACCATGTGCCACTGTGCTCGAAAATGACATGTAGCTGAGTCCCATCAGCTACATGTAGCTGACTTAGCTACCGATGACTTGGGTCGGTGCGTCACACTTTTTCCAATCGTTTGGTATCAATTTTACAACGATCGAGCAATATTTCGATTTTTGGTGAGCATTTGTCCATCAGGGTGTATTTTTTCGGAAATTTTTTAGGCAATTTTCATGTATATTACCAGTTTTTGACAGCTGTCAAAATTTTTCCTCCACATTTTGTCTAAACACCCTCGCCAACAACTAATTGGCCGTGCGATCGATTGATCAGAATTTCAATGCACTGCAATTTGACGTTTCTGTCAATTTTTTTATGTTGAAAAACATGGAAAAGTCCCCTAGCGACACCGTTGCTATGGAGACTTTCCGGGAAACTATCACACTTGGAAATTGGAAAATGTTCCACGTCGATTTCGAGTTGATAGCCAATCCCACTACCAGATGGGTCAATGTTGACAGCTGTCACTGTTACACGGTACTCTCCTGTCAAAAATCCCTTTTTTTTTGGTTGCCATGGAAACCATTTGACAGCTGTCAAAATTTTTGCCCGACGCGTATAAACTTTCCCATCACAAACAGATTGACGTCGTCATTCAATTGTTCAATGTCAGTTTGACAGATTGGGAATGTTTTCAATTTTTTCGAGTTGTGGAAATAGGGGGGACCTAATTTGTCAATCGCGCTAAACGGCCACATAGAAGCTGATAGAAGCGTGTCGATTGCTGTTTAGGAAACGTCGCATGCCACTGTAAAACTCGCCTTTATGGTCTTTCCATTTCGATTCAATGATGAATGCTGTCGCCCTTAATCAACCAGGTGTAAAGGGGATGCTCTAGTTACAGCCACCTTGACCTGATAGGGCTTTGCTGGGCAAAAAGGCCTGCACGGTAAACGCAGTTTCGGGGAATGGAAGCACGTACAGAGCTAATAATTTCGGCAAAATTAACCTTGCTGCTGTTAACTTCCACTATAGGCATTGTCGAGTCCGCTCCGGGGAATTCCCTAAAACAATTATGCGCTCACGACACAGAAATACGATGTCACTGAGCGAGAAGGGGAGTTATTAATAGTCAGTCAAAGTACTGGGGGAGTTTGAAAAGCTGGATGATTTGTGTGGAGCCGATTTTGGCTTTGGAAGTAAGCCCGAGTTGGAAATAAAAAGTTTGGAGCTTTTTTCCGGTCGATTTCCAGGCAAATACAAGTCTTTTGTGGCGCTAAGAAGCGTAAACTGTTTTAATTGAATCAACTGAACATGCGCTGGTTTTGGCCAGTTTGGAAGTTTCAACATCCTCTTTATTGTTTATATACATTTGCCGATGGGTCTTTCCGTCTGGTGCTCATTTCGTTATTTTCCTATATGTTTTTTCACATTTGGCTTCTTCCCGCAGCTTCTTAGGTCGAAAACAATTCAATAAGGGCAAAAAACAAGATTGCGAAATTTTGATTTTTGGTCGAAAATTTCATAAGGGGGGAGTAAGAGGTCGATTTGTCCAAAAAATTCAAGTTCCTCAAAATACCTCGAGTAACACATCATTTTCATCGGAAAGAGACAAGGAATGCAAAGAGCTAATTAAAAGACACCGGGGCCTTTCCAGTTCCCAAATAATCAACATTTTCTGTCT